ACAGGGACATACAATTCGCACAGGAAGGTTCTTACGATCTGCGTAACCAAACTTCCACAGTGACAACTCATTCTTTTAAGTCAACACTCCGTGAAAACTTCTTCACAGTCATGTATTCTAAAATATGGAATAGCCTACCCCTAGATATCAGAACTTGCTCTTCGGTTACAAGCTTCAAACGCTCTCTATACAGACTGTTTCACTCTACTGATTATATTAATAAACTATTTACTCCTAGAACGAATCAAGCACTAATCTACTACAGCACCTAAAAGACGCACTTCAACACCCTTAGCAATCTTTAAACTATAAATAAACTAGCAGCATGGATGCATAAAGACATAGTACGGAACATACAGGATTAGTTTACCCTTAGAAATAGGACCTATCCCTCATTGTAACCTTCAAACGCTTGCTATGTAAACTGTTTTGTCCAAATGACTATCCCTACCAGAACCCATCACTTATTTCTAAAACGCATCAGTCATTAGAACAATAAAACGCTCAGACTCATTAATACACATTATGACATTAAATAAACTCTAAGACTTCGCATAAATACGTGAAAACAGATACAATATAGAAAAATGTTTACTTAAGTATAATTAAGATAAACATTTATAAATGAATAATATATATAATGTCCTTTTCATGTTCACATACTTTCTCTTTCTGGTATTTTGCTGCTCCTATTCATCTTCTGGTCGAGGTCGAACAACCCTGCATCTAAACTGAAATGAGGATTAATTCCAAACCGTCTATCTCATAACCACTCAAATTCCATGAACGATCCAATTCTACCATTTGAAGACGCTGGCGAACATGCTGTAAATGAGTATTCATGATCTGAAATGAAGAAGCAACTGGTTTTCAAACAGTTTTCAACATTTTTCTCAACTTACGAATACAGTCCGCCATGCAGACACAAATGGAGCAAATGGAGAATTCTGGAATCGACCTCGGCACCATTTGATGCAGTAAAACAACCCAACATGACCTTATCTAGTTTTCGTATCCACGATCAAATTTCTTTCCTGTTATAAAACTACGATAAGACTACTGAAAAAATGGAATAAATATATCACTGATCTCAACATAATACATCAATAATCTTTAAGCCAAGGGTGCTGTTCACAACAAAGTTATATAAGAGAATTGACTTCAAGCTTTATTTTTCCCAGATATTTGTATTACATTCATCTGATGTCTGGGTTTTTTGTTAATGCGAAGACAATATTTCTATATCTCTTTATGTGCTACACAAACAAACTTTATAGCAGACTGTTCCGACTGACTTTGATGTCAGAAAGAACAACCAAACTGTAAATCCATTATACATCAAATTTTGTGTAATTTATATAATAACTTATCCATGCCTGTACAATTGGTATGCTCCTGCATAAACAGGAAGAAATATATATTATAGTGTGTTTTGGTTTACGTAGAGCGAGCTGGGAAAACGAATGCGGTCTTATAATTAATGTTGTTGGCATAGTCATCAAGTATTATTGATCATAGCGTCTAAGTCCAGCACGGGCATTTCTATTCTACTGACTTGTAACGCCCACATATAGCTCAGTAGTAACGTCCCTGACTGCATGTGGCACTGTGTGACGCGGATTCGAATCTTGGAGGGGGAGGGGCATGAGATCCTTCATGGTTGCAGACAAGTGAATGCAAACTGACACGAAACGTAGGTTCAAAGCTTCCTGCCGATTACTTCCAACCATCTAATACTATAACTATACGCTTATAGAACCAATTCATTTACTCATATTATACGTTTATAGAAACTAATTTTATATATGCTCATCGAATATTTACCATTGTATTATTGAACGTTGGGCTCCGTCTGTTACGTAAATATTTTGCGTGGTTACACACTTATTTTTACGTCCACCTCACGGTTTACAAAATCTGTTTCGTTAACAATACATTTCTACAAGTTTCCATTTGTGCTTCTTAATATAATGTGGTTTATATCTGGTCGTGTACAGCATTAGCTCACACGGTAGAAATTGAATGTACTGTTTATTGCATTATAATTGGAACTATATTCTGTACTCTATTAACTCAACCTATGGCGAAACGCAATCAGAATAATTGTCAGTAGCGTTAGCAATGCTCGTGAAATAGAAAATGTTTAGACACTGGTGGAGACCTATTTTGATCTTCTGAATTATTAATGCTCAACACATGGTGTATTAAAAGCCTGAAGGAAAATTATTTAGAAAAAAACTGTATTCCCTTACTTTCCTAATGGAACATATGGCTTCAGGCTAGAGCTTTGAAGTTCCGGTAGCAGCGGTGCTTATTTTTACGGGGTGTCGGGTTGCTAACCTCATACCCAACCTCCAGCCGCCGCCATTGGTTTTCACCATCTCGAGGACACCAAACCAGTGAGTCAGGAAGTCTACACCTCTCTACGTGACTGGCCATCATTGACTGATGATGAAGTCATGTTTTGGTTTGACCACCACTAGCCTACACTTTCCCGACTTGATACAACCTAAGTCAGTCTCTAACGTTGCCCGTTGCTGAGTAAGGCGATCGATGGCTAGGTCACGCATGCGTAACACATGCCCTAACTATCTCACTCAATCCATGTAACTTCACAACCTGGTCGACTGATTTCCCCTCCAACTCACCTAGCACTCTACCGATGCCTGACCTCAAAATTGCTCACTTTAGTATACTATCACCTAACACAGGAGATACAGAGCAGAAACCAATGATCAAAGACAGCCAGCTAGCCAGGCTTTTCATTTCTTCCACTTCCAATGGAGGCCATGTCTCATTTATAGTCATAAAGGCGGATGGAGCGAACTGCTGAGCAGTACACACGCCGTTTGGTCGACAGCCAGCCGGGTATCACGTCTTCTAAGCCAGAGATGACGTAGGTTGATCGGCATATGCCAAGCGAGCCTTCTTTATCCATGATGAGATCTCGTCAGCCATTAAACCGTTGTCGCTGGCCGGTGCAACTCTTCAAATAAGTGAGGTAGGTAGTAAACACGTCCTACTAACCACCTCCCTCTCTATTTTCAAAGTAGGAGTGAGTCGGTGTAGTCCAGTCCAGTTCTGTAGCATCATCCCACATTTGACGGGAGCGAACCACATGCCAAACATCCAAAGATTGCTCACTGCTCAAGGTGTGTCACAAGACAATGCACTATTTTGTCACCGTTTTCATCTATCATAGAGGACCAAATTATCTGCATATTCTAAGTCAAACATGTAAGTCAATCCCTGAGTGGCTGAAGTCAATTAGTGTAAAAACATACTGGCTGAATACCTAACGGAACTTAACCGCATAACATGAAGTTTCTACCCTCGATTCCTATCAGCACAGTGGGGTCATGAGTGCGCATGCAGTGCATAAGTGTTTAAAACTAAGACAATTTATGGATGATACATTTGCGGTTGTGAAAAACGGGAATGATGCAATGAACATCCTTGGCAAGTTCAATGATGCCAATTCAGCAATAAACTTTACCATAGAGAAAGAAAATAATGACAGTATCTCATTCCTAGACGTTTTCATGGCAAGGAAGGAAGATGGCACATTAAGGAGTATGTATAAGAAACCTACAACAACAGGTCAGTATACTCACTTCTTGTTTGAGTTTTGCTCCTCTGAAATATAAACGTAACCTGGTAGATTGTCTGGTTCATAGAGCTAAGTTAATCTGTTCAGACGACTGCCTCAATGAGGAGCTTAAGATTATTAGAGAATTACTTAATAAAAATGGTTATCCAGATAAGTTCATTGAGGAAAATATGGATTCAGCACCTAGGGGAGTCAGGATGGCAACAGCTCCCAAAATACCATTGTTCATGAAACTGCAGTCCCTCGGTGAAAACATCAGCGAGATAAAAAAAGAGCGAGCGCCTGAAGGATGCAGTTAAAAGGGCTTATTATACAGCAGAGGTACGTTGTCTCTTCACAACCAACACTATTCTACGTTCCAGTAATAAGGATAAACTGCCTAAATTTGTCTCCCTTATGTGTATCTGCCAGTTTGACTGCAGCTGCGGCGCAAGGCGATATTAGACGTACAATTAGGCAACTTCATCATCTTATTTCCGAGCATCATCCAGCATGGTTAAGCGAGGGACAGACAAGATCTATTCGCAGCCCATCTTGTAGATAGTGGGCATAAGGTTGATGTCAATACAGCATTTAAAATTATTTATCACAATTCGATTAATCTTAATTTTGCTTTACGAGTTCTTCTTCATACAGTTGAAGCCATAGAAAACCACCTGAAGAAGCCAAACCTGTGTGTTCAGAAGGAATTTGGTACAACTACTTTCCTTATCTTGGCCATCGTTACATGAATGTAGAAACCGGGCTACTTTGCCCCCTCCACCTAAACCTTTAAAAATTGTAATTGTTCAAATTGCTTTATCATTTTTCGGACTACTTCATCTTTAATTACACGTTATTTTATTCTTATGACCACTTCATCCTTAGTTAAAAGTGATCACTGTCCAAATCGTTTAATTTCTCTTCAACAATCTGTTACGTAATCAACTTGAGCACACGCTTATTCATTAATTACTCTTCACTCTTTCCAATATTATGCGTTATGCAATCTACTTGTTGTATCCATTTCTACCTTTTGATTGTGTGTAATAATTTTCTTCTGTCGCCTTGACATGTTGACACTGACTAATTATTGTTAACAAACAAACATATCAGTGACACTTGATTGGTAAATTCTTGTATGTTGTAATAAAAATGTTATACGTGCATATATTAGAGTAGAGTCAGAGTGAGATGAGGATCCAATTGAACGGCAAATTCAAGTGTACTGGACAGCTGATTCGTCCTAGTTCGGGACTCCTCAGCAGTACACACCCACCGGGGTTCGAACCCAGGACCTTCTGGTTACAATGGTGGCTTAATGGTATACGAGCTCGCCTTGTAACCAGAAGGTCCTGGATTCGAGCCCCGGTGGGTGTGTACTGCTGAGGAGTCCCGAACTAGGACGAATCAGCTGTCCAGTACTCTCTGCAGGTTTTCCAGTGGTTCTCTAACTAATGTCAGCTCATTATGAACGGCAAATATTTCTTTGCTGCTCAATTCTTTTGCTTTCTAAATGTCTAAATATATGCATGCATGCTTGACATAAAACCATAGGATGTAAATTTTTATGTTTGGGAAACCTATTGACAATAATAAGAATGAAACTAGTATGTATGTAAGTATGCATATGCATATCATTTATTCTTTTACACCGAAATATATTCACAGGCGATACATATTAATTAATTAATTAATTTTATCAACAAGAAACCTACTTGTATAGACGACAGAGGAAAGATTATAACTGATGTAGAACAGAATAGAAAACAGGCCACAAAATACAGTATTCATATATTATATATGTATATATATCCGAGTAGAAATGATTACACGTCGTCACTGAAGCAAAAGACCAAGAAGAAGGTAAGACAAACAAATCACACACACACACACACAACCTCCCCTTATGAAAAAGAGAAATGAATCAGTGTCAGTCCAATGAATGCACAATGAAATAACACCTCTGTTACATAATGATGATATGAACGGAGATCTCTGTGTGTGGGTGTGTGTGTGTGTGTTAGCGGTGCAATTGATTAAACACACAAAGTAGTTAAAAAGCAACTATCGGGATCAGAAGATAACCTTATTTGCTGGATGGGTGAGGGGGGGGTAACGAAGAAGAGTGTACACATTTACACACACACACACACACAAGTAACACAACATATGGAATCTAAAATAGGAGAGAGAGAGAGAGAAAGGGAGCGGGAAAACACATAAAGGAAACACTAAAGCAAATTGGGGTAGGATGGGATGGGGTGGAAACAACAGCACGACACGTGTAAGTGTGTACGCAGGTAGATCACAGTCCATAGTGAGTGAGAGAGAGAGAGAGCAGTGAAAAACAAAATTCATAAAGAAAAAAATATATAATGAACAAAATTGTTTTATTTTTTTTCTGATGGAGTTCTCAATCCACTTTCACAGTTGAATAAATTTTACGAACAAATCGATTTGCAGCGACATATCCAACTGAACCTAAATAAAATGAAGACAGCAATACAATTATGGCAGTTATTGGGTTTACTGATTTATTGATTTTCAGTTTGAACACACTTCAGCAAACATGCTAAGAATGCTAATGTTGTCAGGTCGAGTGGGATTTGACCCCGTGAGTCGTTGACGGCAGCAAACCAAGCTCTTAAGCTAATGGGTCACACATATCCATCCAGTTAAGGCACATTTTTTCATACAAAAGAAGCTGGATGGATGCCTTATATATATGTCTGCCTTACACATCGGGTACAGCCCATCGAGTTAGTATTATTCAACCACCCCCACCACCTCAATGCACAAAGTGTGATGCACCGACTAGTGTACACAAAACTTGTGTTTGTTTTTGCTTTTCTATATACTGAAAATGTTAATTCAGTTTGGTTAGTTTCATCATAGATATTGGGGAAACAGGAGGATTTGGACTTTGCTGATGTTATATGTCTGATTTCACACAAACTGGAAGACATGCAAGTGAAAAGCAACAAGTTGGCAGAAGAAGCATCAAAGACAGGACATCACTTCAGGTGAACACAGCGGAAAGAGAGGTGATGAAGATTCCTGGCTAACAGCACCAGCATGTTGTATATATATATATATATATATATATATATATATATATATATATATATATATATATATATATAATCACTCGGGACTTCAGGTTGCTTGCCAATTGTCTCCAGTCTCATAAATAAGCAAACTTTCAATGTTCATATTCCTTGATATTGTGCAAGGCGATTGATTGTTTCCCTACCGGAATCCAAATTTTAGGTCGAAATTTATGTCTGTAGTCAATTTTTCCATTTTCTATCTTTCTGTTTCGGTATAAATGTTGTTTGTGTAGCACACAGCACAATAAGAATTTTTTATTTTTATTCGTTAATTTGATTGTTTACTTCACCATATCATCATCATCGTAATTGTAAATTTAGACACAATTTGATTACCAACCTACTGTCTACCTCTGGAGAACATTTTACTTATTTAATGGTATTTTAATAATTGTGTATTTCTTCTACTTAAACCCTACGCCGTACCGTACCTCTTCGTCCTTAGAAATCATGTTAATGACTTTTGTATTCTTATCATGTTGACATTGGCTTAACAATTTTTTTAAAATGTCACATAATACCGGGTATGTGGTCCGTGGTTCGATTCCTGGGCGACTACTCACTGTTAAGCCTCACTTAATTACCGGTATTAAGCTACTACCACCCGGTGGGTGAAGTGAGAAAACAAGTTAGCGTAACCCGGTATTCTTTAAAAAGAAAATCAACACTATCGCTACGAAAACTTCAAAACTTCTGGGTTGAAGTCATGTGTGTATGTGTGTGTACCATTCAACACACATATGAACGAAAATGACTGACATAATGTCGGCTTACATTTCTCGTCGTCGGGAAAGGCGGCGGTGGGTATTAGCTGGCATGCACAGCCATCCCCCTAATCGATATAGCTTAACTTCAGTGATACCTGCCATAATATGCCACTTGACAGGGGGGAGGTAGAATGCAAATATATGTGGTGAAGAACACAACTATCCGCCGTTACACATCTTCCACTTTCTCACAACCATAAAAAAAGACAGGCGAGCGATGCGTACATCCTTTGATGATCGGTAGCCGGATATTCCATCTTCTCCAGAGATGACTCCAGTTGGTTGACAAATGCTTCAGGCGCCTTTTTATTATTATTATCCGTTATGAGATTTCGTTGGCTGTCACAGTTCATTTTGATGTGATTACGTTAACTGAGCAAAGTAATTTAATAGCTAAGGTTTTGTTGTCGTTCATGAAAAAATCTTCAATACACGTTTCAATACACCGGGAACTTGTAACGCTAGAAGACGAGAAACTTGGTTTAAGGAATGTTTATTTGTAATTTGGTATCTTTATGCAGACAAAGTACACCTTATCTTAAAATCACCATTTACACAGATCTCCCGTGCTGTGCTACTTCTGCCTTTCATATTGTGTTCATTTTCACGTCTCCCGTGTTTCTCCCCCAATTATTATTATTATTATTATTATTATTATTATTATTATTATTATTATATCCTTTAATTCCTAGAGGAACATAGGGCTTCAGCTGCTCGTCTCCATTGCCTTCTGTTTTCTGTCAACTTCTTCACCCCGCTCCAAGTCTGCCCACATGCTTTCATCTCCTCCTCACATGACCTCCTCCAAGTCACCCTTGGACGACCAACTCGCCGCCTCCCTTTCGGGTTCCACTCGAGGGCTTGTCTAGTGATGTCACTTGATGGTTTCCTCAGCGTATGGCCAATCCATCTCCATTTCTTCCTACCTATTTGTTTCACAATCGGTTCCTGATTGGTTCGCTCCCAGAGATCCCTGTTGCTGATCTTTTCTGGCCATCTGATCTTGAGTATTGAGCGGAGACAGCTGTTAATGAAGGTTTGAAGTTTGTTTGAGATGCTTTTTATGACTCGCCAAGTCTCTGATCCGTATAGTAGCACTGACTTCACATTGGAGTTGAAAATCCGGATCTTATTTTTGATGCTGAGTGCTGTTGACCTCCACACAGACTTGATGAGAGTAATGAAAGCTTGTCTTGCTTTTCCGATTCTGGCTTTGATGTCCTCGTCAGTTCCGCCTGTAGTTGAGACGATGCTTCCCAGGTAGGTGAAGGAGGTTGTTTCTTTCAGGTTCTTCCCACTTATGCTGATTGTTGTCTGTTGTTGTTGTTGCTGTTGATGTTGGCTAGGAATCTTCATCATCTCTGTTTTTTCTATGTTCACGTGAAGTCCTATCGTTGATGCTTCTTCTGCCAACTTGTTGCTTTTCACTTGCATATCTTCCAGTTTGTGGGAAATCAGACATATATCATCGGCGAAGTCCAGATCCTCCAAGTTTTTTGTGTGAGCCCTTTTTATGCCTGTTTCCTCATTGGCCGTTGTCTGTCGCATTATCCAGTCTACTGCAATCAGTCCCCCAATACGCTGAATCATTTGCTTCCACTGATGTGAAATCTCTGTCCCTGTTGTTAGACATTTTTATGCCAATGAATGTCTCTTTATATACTACTGATAAATGTTATCAGTAGTACACACATCACCATGAATAATATTTTTGTATCTACTGACTGACAGCCTTTATTTATCGTTGTGGTTTTTGAATTGAATCTATATTGGCTGTTTCTATTGACTTGGAATTTGGATGGTTTTCACATGTAGTTTATTCCTTGATAAATTTAGGTAAATTTTGTTCAGTTTACTAGGGCTGATACAACTTCCAAATAAGTAGTGAAGTGTTCAACACGCTTGTTAACCACATCTCCCCCCGTCTTATCTTTTAAGCAAGAAGTCGGTTGAGTCTGGTTTTATGGCAGTTTGAAATGAAATACTTCAACACACTGATTAAATTTTTGTCCTCTATTTTTATCTTATTCATCATACCCTTGTGTATGTTGGATATTTAATGTTCGCTCATTTATGTGTTATGAGAGATGAAACGTTGTTACTAAGATTGCTTGGTATTTAATTTTGTATCGATTGTTTCTTATAAACAATTTTTATTTTATTGCTCAACAAAAGTGTAGAGTTAAAAACGCAGTCAGACCGGTAAGAAGACGCTAGAAGATGTGGATGATTTATGTTCAATGTCACACACATACACACACAAACTCGAAGACTTAAAGGCTGGCAAAAGCCAACAAATTGTCTGAAGAGGCTGACAGGCTGCACAGACAGGACTGACTACAGGTGACCATAGAGAAAGTGGAGACGGAGGTGATGCAGATAACCAACCAACCAGCCAACAGCAACACCAATCACCATCAACAGGAAGGATAGATTGGACAGCGGTTTATTCCTGGTTTCATTCATCTGACTAGAAAGCCAGCACGGTTTCAACTACAGGCTGGCAGGCAGTTGGACAGCACACAGATGAAGATGTCAAAGAGAGACAGACAGTTATTCAGAATTGGAAAGGCAAGATACGCCCCGATCAACCTGAAACTAGTTTGCCAATCTTCTGCTTCACTCACTCAGCCAGCATAAACAATAAGATTCGGATTCTGTTCAACACAAATGTGAAGTCATTCGGTCAGTCAGTTATTGTATACAGGTCAGAAAATTGCACTGCGTGTAAGTCATCAAAAAGATTTCCAACAAGTTACTGCAGACTTTTATCAACTGCTGCCTTCTCCGGCTCCATACTGAAGATCAAATGGCAGACTGGACGGCCGGCTGGCTGGCTGATTGGAAAGAATTAGCGACAAGAAACCCTTCAGTGGAACAAAGCAAGAGCTGATTGCTCAACAAATATGTAGGAAACAATGGAGATGAATTACTCATGCATGCGAATGAGGAGGCCGTCGGTAAAATGTCATCACGCATAATGCAAGCCACTGCTCGAGTGGAAGGTGAGTGGGAAGCAAGCGACGAGTGGGGGGTTAGTGCGAGAGAGACATGGAGGAGATCGTTTGTTGGCGACGATGAGGAAGGAGGAGGAGGAGATGGAGACTATTGGCAGTAATCGTGGGCCTGGCCAGGGGAAGAGAACAGTAGAGAATAGAAAAGAAGAAATTGGAGATGCTGTTTAGGTGTTTTAAAATGACAGCCGTACATATCGAAGTGGTTTATACACTAACTACTGGTTCGTTTATCCTGGCGTCGCTAAGGTTCATGGACCGTCGAGGTACACCAAAACTGATGTTCAGTGAGTGATAGAGGAACTAACTTCTTCGGCCATCACACAGAACTCATAAGGCGTACTGTCGATCCTCTTACAAGAGTTCACGAAGAGCTATTGAAAAGGAATATAGAGTGGTACTACACTGTAACGGAATCCAGTCACAGAGGCGGCTGTGGAGAGTCTTATAGGAATAGTTCGGAATGTTTTCATTGGTGTCATTAGAAACCAAGACTTGACCGATGGGACTTTAGAGACGTTTTAATGTGGACCAGAGAGAATTCCGAACGACCAATCGCTTTTGGAGGATTTCGACGTGATAACGCTGAATAAGCTTCTATTAATGCGAGGTAATTCCGGCATAGGAGAACGTTTCACAGTGCCGAGACCTATGTTCAAAGGATGGAGACAAGCCAAACATCTGAAAGAGATGTTTTGGAAGGGATGACTCAAAGAATACACACTTGACTTGAATATAACTTGACATTAAGACAGTGAATGTGAGACTCGTTACACTCTATTTTAAGGTTAAATTTTTATGGCAAGATGGAGAGGACTGATGAAACCTTGAAGAGATCATATTTATAAAAAGCCTTCATGACAAATTTCTACGGGGTACCCCCCTCTACTCCAGTATTGGTAGAAAAGGAAACTTGATTCTGCCAATTGCTAGTCGTGATAGGAGAGCACGTAATCCCGATGCTATGAGAGGAATGATAAATCTTATGAGAAAACTCCTAGAGGAAAATAGATCCCCACTACGTTTTATAGACAAAAACATGACAGTTTCAACAGGATAATTGACAGAGGAAAATACGACTACTTTTAATGAACGTATATTGATGTTACAGTCTCGAAATTAAAAAGTTTTAATATAACTCGCAAAATCTTACATAGCAATAATAATAATAGTTGAAACAAGTGAAGGTGACGAAGACTTACCACATAGAATACCAATGAACAAGCAGAACAAAGCCATATAACTGAAGTAGAAAGTCGTCTGAAACACGCCAAACATCCTGAAGATAATGAAAAAAGATTTTAAGCACATATGAGAAGAATTTATTACGTAACGATATACATGTATACGTGTAATACTTCTGAAATGATTTTTTAAAAATCAATTACTAACATCATGTATATTACTTAGTTATTATCATTATCACTATAGCTTGACTCCACAGTATTCAATGGTAAGCCTCCAGTCGGGGTTAGAGCATTCTTAATCACCCTGAACCCGGCGCCACGGGGTATGTAAAGGGATTTGTCTCCCAGCCAATGCACTCATAGACCTAGTCATCTATTTTACTAGCAGGGTTAGTGATCACCCGACAGAAGACGTAAGATTGGGAGTAAGGCTAGTGCAACCATACCTTTTCCCCCCTCCCCATGCGTGTGAGAAAAAATGACATCCCTAGTGCTACTGAGACGTTAAAAGAGCTTCTACTACTTATATTCCACTAGGAAGAACTGTCTGTCGGGGTGGGGGTTCTATGGCTCTCATAGTTGTTTGCGGTCACAGAGTGAAGTGAAAATGACTCACGAGCCTGAAGAGTAGTATTAACTGTAGTAGGGGAGTAAGATGATGAAGGTGATGTGGGTAAAAGAGAATGATGTTCGACGAGGCTTTGTGTGCTCTTGGAAGTGTGTGGGCTGCTGTTACATCCCTAGAAGTACGGCTTCGCCCACACCATACCTATGACTGCTTTTAGTCTAATCTCTATCCTGAAAACCTTCCTGGCATGGTAGGACCTACAGGAACAATAGTTCCAGGCAGTGTAGCTTGTTGGTGCATTGCGATGTGCAAGCCCAAGCACCACGTCAAGGTAGCAGCAGCTAACGGTAGGGACTAGGAAGAACAAAGAGAATAAAAACAAAATTTTCTTTAAAAAAAAGATGATAAATACTTACTTTGTTTTGAAAAAGTAGTAGTATATAGCATATGCGTAGGCATAAAAGGCGATAGATGCACCGGATAGAAAACTTGTCCATTGCCTAAGAAGATAAATAAGTAAATATTATCATAGCAACAATACAGGATAAACAATAATGATGTTGAGCACAACAACACACAGATCGACACAAAAAGCAGGATATATATTGAAAGGGAAAAACAAAAGTACGATCTTTAAACACTATGTACGAATACGCTGTGTTACTTACTGCTAACTACAATAGCAGAGTATTATACACAACAAATTTTATGCAAAAATAACACAAGTTCAGTAATAATTTGATGGACTTTGATTACTACTATTTCAAAAGGTACTGCAGATAATTGTGTGTGTATGTGCGTGTACAAGATACATGAATTCTATCTAATATGTCAGAGGGCTTGATCTTATCAGCCCCGAATAGTACATTTGTGACGATAGAAGACAAGGGCCAGGCAACAGACCATTTATTGAGGAAATCAAGAGACTTATATATTTTTGATTGTATGGAGGATTTCACCATGAGCTGACATCAGTTAGATGATGCTCACTAGCGACTGGCCCTATTCAGACAGTTAACCTGGGGTTCTAGTGGGAAGCCGTGACCAGTAGGGTACAGCAGGTCGAAGATGAGGCAGTAACTCATCGAAGAAGACATTGCGAAGTGGTCGCGCCATGTCATGAATCGGCAGAAGTTAGAATTCAAGGACCATTGGATCGGGTCCCAGTGTCTCAATGGTCTACGAGCTCGCCTTGTAACCAGAAGGTCCTGGGTTCGAACCCCGGTGGGTGCGTACTGCTGGGGAGTCCCAAACTAGGACGAAACAGCTGTCCAGTACTCGCAGGTTTTCCAGTGGTTTTCTAACTGATGTCAGCTCATGGTGAAATCCTCCATATAATCTGTCATCTCTTTGTGGCCATTTTTTTGATGGTTAGACTATATATCTGCGAATCGCATCCGCCCACGCAAAGTCTTTGTTCTTGTCTTTTTTCTCATGACCAAGATTTGAAACGTAAATATTGACGTAAATTTGTCTACCAATTTTCACTAGCAGACAGCTATCATCACACACATTGACAAGTCTACGTGTGTGTATCGAAATAAACGTGGTTAAATCCTCAATATAACAACAAACCTAACTTACACTTTACGGTGGATACAAATTACTATACAATAGAAAGAAACAACGGACATATGTGTACACAGGATAATACATGCTCGTTTTATTATTTGATGGGTTCTCTTCAGCTGCGCACATCCTAAACAACAAAATCGATTATATGTCACCAAATGACGTCTAAACATACTTTTTACAATGACTTTAAGTTATAGGTAGAGAGTATAAGGGACATAATTTCAGAGATGATGTAAGTAGACAATTATTTAGTGTGTTGACAAGGGAGTAACTATTTATACAGTAATTAGACAAAGGAATGGAATTCAGATTTCTATTGGAAACAAGGATGGACAGAACAGAACAACAAAGTTAATTTATGCATATTACGGTGGAGAGTTCAGTAGGGTGGTGTGGTGGGGTAAATAGAGAAGTAAAATTATAAAATAGATGAAATAATTTAATTTAGTAGATTTGGCACCTTAATGGTGAGTTCAACGCAGTCACTGAGTGAAAATCAAAATCCAGATCGACTGGAATGTTGTGCAACAGAACAAAACAGTTATGGTTACCAGAGTAGTGAGAGATTAAGCACACTATCTTTCTGTATGCATAGGTTGAGTCGAAGTCTTTTGATAGCAATGGCTTCTGCGAACCGAAGTAACTATGCTTTTCTCTGTGTATTGATTGATTATTTTGAAAACATGACTACTTTTCACTGCATGTCCCTTGTCTGGTAATTGCGCTTGAGAATACTTTGGTGCCTTTCAAACGTAGACTTTTGATGATATACTCGGAGAATCTAGTAGGCCGTAACAGTCCTTCTTCTGTACTCTCGGCAAGAAGTACAAGTGAATTGGCAAATGCAGTTGGAGTTGACATGAACACTAAATAATCATCTACTTACATCATCTTTGAAATTATGTTGTTGATACTTTTCTCTACCTATAATTTGAAGTCATTGTAAAAAGTATGTTCAGACAGCGTTTTTTTATATATAGTTGGTTTTGTTATATAGGATGTATGCAGTTGAAGAGAATGTTCTTTCTTTCTTTATTATTCAAACTAATAATAATATAAAATAAATAACCAGGTAAACGATGTAGCCAAGGGGACCCAATTAACAAGGAAGAAGGACATAAAACAATGGATGGATCACTTCAAAGGACTCTTGAACCGACCACCACCTGCAACCCGTCCAGAAATGCCAACAACAGCACGTACACAAATGCAAGTTGACACCAATCCTCCAACGAAAGCTGTAGTCTTGAATTCAATCAAGCTTCTCAAAACTGGAAAAGCAAAGCTGGACCAGATGGAATACCACCTGAAGCCCTGAAAGCGGACCCAGAGACGACAGCAGATATGCTGACTCCATTATTACAAAAGGTCTGGAAGGAGGGAAAGGTGCCTACTGACTGGATGAAAGGTTACCTCGTAAAACTACCAAAGAAAGGCGACTTAAGACTTTGCAAGAACTGGTGAGCAATGATGCACCTGTCTACGCCAAGTAAAATCCTGAGTCGCATTATCCTGGAGAGAATAAAGGACGCACTGGATGCAGAACTCGAACCGGAACAAGCTGGATTCAGGAAAGGGAAATCATGCTCTGACCAAATCGCAATTATACGCATCATCAGCACAGAACAAAGCACGGAATGGAAATCAAACCTCTACCTCAACTTTATAGACTTTGAGAAGGCCTTCGACAGCGTTGACCGTGAAGCTATTTGGAAACTACTCGAGTACTACGGCGTACCCCAAATATTCATCAACCTTATTATTCAACAGCTGAATGACAACGGCGGCACATGTCAAGTGATCCACAACGGAAAACTCAGCGAGGCGTTTGGAGTAAACACAGGAGTCAGACAAGGGTGATGGCTTATTATCACCAATGATATTCCTAATTGTGGTGGACTGACTGGATTATTCGTCAGATAGTGGGAAACGAGAAGACAGGGATATCCTGGAACGACGTGAAGAACCTAGAAGACCTGGATTTCGTGCGTGGTTGATTTATGTTTGATGTCACACAAAATCGAAGACTTACAAGCGAAAACCGACAAACTGGTCGAAGAAGCAGCCGCAAAGACAGGACTCCAGGTAAACATAGACAAGACGGAAGTTATGAAAATAACCAACCAACCAACCAACAACAACAGCAGCAACATCCAACGTCAATCACCATCAACGGGAGGGATTTGAAAGAGGTTACTTCATTCACTTATCTAGGGAGCATTGTCTCAACTACAGGAGGAGCGGACGAGGATGTCAAATCGAGAATCGGGAAGGCGAGAAACACATTCATCAGCCTGAAATCAATCTGGAAATATTCGTCACTCAGCATCAACAACAAAATTTCGGATTTTCAATACAAACGTAAAGCCAGTCAGTTCTTCTATACGGATCAGAAACTTGAAAGGCGGGTCACAAAGTATATTTCCAAAAGGCTATTGCAGACGTTATCATTATCAACAACTGTCTTCGCTGGATCTATACTGAAGATCAGATGACCGGGTAGGAAAGAATCACCAAGAAGGAATTATGGGAACAAACAAAGCAAGAACCAATCGCCAACCAACAAATATGCAGGAGAAAGAGGAGATGGATTGGACAATCGCTGAGAAGGCCACCTCTGGGTGACATCGCGCGCGCGTCAGGCGATTGCTTGAGTGGAACCAGGCCGAAAGGGAAGCGGCGAGTGGACGTCGGTGCAAGGGTGACATGGAGGATATCGTGTGAAGAGGAGTTGAAACAGTATGGACTAAAATGGATGCATGTGAAAAGTACAGCAGAAGATAGAAGCAAGTGGAGACGTGCAGTTGAAGCCTTCCTATGTTCCACTAGGAACTCAAGGGAACAGTAATAATGATAATAATAAGTAAACGATGTAACCTGAACTTAGACACACACTTTGCTACACTATAAAGAGGATTTTTAACAGCCTTGTGAAAGATGGTTAAAACATTGAAAATTATATATAGCAGTAGGTGAAATGAATAAGGCATATATTATGTGAAGGCGGTAACTACAAATTTAATAAATAGACGGGCTTATTAGGGCTTTGAACTTGTAACACACCTTTACAAGACAGAATGTGCTATAGTTACTGATTAACTACGTTTAAATATGAAAACTTTTAAAAGTAGTGCAACAATTTAAGTTTTGACATCCCATGTAGCACGCACACACAAAGGTAGACCAAAGAGATTCACTACCATCATAAGGAGAAATATACTTGAGAAAGAATAGTAACATGAAAAAACATTAGGGTACATAGATCACACAAAAAGACTGGAAGCATTTATCCCACTGAGATCCATATCTCCAATAGTCTCCAGTCATTGGTTCTTAGAATCCCGACGACCCCAACCAGTTAGTCTACAGCTCGCCCGCTCAACCCTCTACCCAACGTGGTTCAAACCAACTGTTAAAGATTTCATGGACTGAGGAAGGTATGTTTCGGTTTGACCCTCACTAGATCTTTTCCCAACTTAATCCTATGTCAGTTAACATTGCCCGTCAAAGAAATCGATGACTAGGCATACGTGCCTCATCGACAGATTTTCCCTCCTTATTTAACACTCACCCTAGCACAGGAGACAGTACGCAAAGTTCTGTGGTCAAAGCCAACTAACCGTTTCATATCATCCCCTTTCAATGGCCATGTCTCACAGTCATAGAGAAGGATAGAGCATACTGTTGCGTTGTAATACACACACACACACACACACTATTCAACCGATACCCGGATATCACATTAACGCCAGAGATGGTCTATGTTGGTAAATGCCACATACTAGCTTTTTGTATCCCATGATTGGGACCCATGTTGAGTATTCCGAGTCACTGTAATCCTCAACAGGCAGCAATGTTAGCTGACAGAATTACGTTGAAAAAGATTTAAGGGTCGTCATATCAAAACCTGGAATCAATCCATGAAGTGTTCGACAGTCAAACTGAACCACGTAGAGAGGCGTTAGCAACTGACTTGGTTAACGTGCTCAGGATTCATTCATTCTACAACCAATAGATGGAAACTACTTGTAATATGACTCAAAATCGTCCTCGCATATCCATTATAAACAATCATGTTTTTCCATATCAGTATTCTTCCTCCCGCACCTTTTTGGCTGACTATTAGTTCCTTCTTATGAATCTTTCTCCCACCCCTCTGTCTAACTTTTTGTGCTACATGAAATGTTGTAACTTGATCTAATAGACTTTTGTGCATAGTTCTATGTTGAAACTCAATTGGTTAGTCAATCCAGTCTCAACGATCCTTTTGGTTATAGAAATCAACTGCTGCTTAAGCCAAAGAGCTTCAACGCCTTCACCACACATCATGGAAATTATAATAAGATTTAAATGCAATACAAATCATTGATTAACACCGTGAACTTCTTACCAACGATAATCTTCAGAATTCAATAAGAAATAAGTTCCAACAACAGTGACTGATGATGTCACAGCAATAAGAAGAAATAGTACAAGTAGAGTGAATCCAAAAACGAAGTAAATTTTATAAGCCCAAAATGATGTGAATACAAAATACCTAGAAAAAAAATACAAAAAAGAGACGGGTTAGTGGGGGAGTAGAGTGCATATGATAATTCACTGTTACAGTCAGTTAAACCTTAATGAAATATAATAGCTCAGTTGAGTGAAAATCATGTTGGCAAAACGTTTTTTATTCCTTTACGTTCCCAGTGGAACATAGGGCTTCAAGCTAGAGCTTTCAGGGTTACCAACTTCTTGCCCAACCTACCCTCTGTGCCAGCCTTATTATTGGCTTAGCCAGGTAAAGGAGCACATCAGTTGCCGGGGATCAAACCCCGGACCACATGAGGCATGGTTGGCGAGCCTTGCCACCGACGCACGGTGACAACCTTAATTTAGTTATAAACAAAATCAATAGTCAGGGGTCAATTTAAACCCCGACCAACATAGCTGCTACTATGAATTAGTTGTCGGACTTCTATATCACAATGACTCAAGGAGTTACACTGGTTGAAATTAATATCCCAGCAGGTTCTGCGGCTCCAGAAAGGCCGTTTGAATGATGGTTAGACTAAAAGCTCCCTAAATAGGTGTAAGCCGTTTACAATATGTTGGGCAGGGGGCTGTTACTATTTAGTTGTATAATCGGGTATAGGGATGGAACAGAAGCAAGACGCTTGCCTCAGATGATCAGCTTGTCGACTATTCTACAGCTTTGCTCCGGGGAGGAAAATGGGTTAGAAAAGGTAAACCCTGAAAATTGTATATCCGAGCTTATCATGCAGCAATCCATAGCCAGAGGTAACATCAAAATACGAACGCAATTGTAAAAAGAAATTCAAACAAGCTGTCTCAAGCAGTTGTCCCCTAGGCACTACAGCCAAGTAACACTAAACCCCTTTCTGTTTCAGGTACTCAGAGACTGCCGCGATGTGGGCAGTCGGGAAATAAAGATCACACACACACGCAAATCTCTCCTGATCACCACCTAAATTCATCTAAGTCAGTCCAGTTTAGCAGAAACACAACTCAACATCAGGGTAGTCTCCAACTTTTAAGTGAGTTCACAGAAATAATAACACACAGTTTCTGAAGAAATAAATGACAATAATGAAGTTTTGAATATTTCAATAAAAATGGAGAATTTCACATATATGGATTCTCCCGCCTCCTGCTCCGGGACTCTCCAGCAGCATCCCCACACCAGAGTTCCAAAGCATGAATTTCCGAGTACAATCAGGTTCGTATACCATTCCGTCACTGGGACTCGATTCAATGGCACATGAATTATAACTCTACCAATTTGTGATTTTAGTGTAACCACCACCGGCCAATGTCATTGGCGAAAATTCTGCCTCACAGTCGACCTGGTAGATTTTACTGGTTACGATTTTTCACTAGAACTCCAGGAAACTTCATCTTTTAGCCAGTCACTAGGCAGTGTCAGATTAATTTTGAAGAATTATCTTGTAGGAATACGATGTGTTTCAGGTTTTGACTAAGGATAGATATCAGTTAGAGAACGGCTAAAAACCAAGGAGTACTGGATCATTGCTCTGTCCTAGTTCGAGACATACACGGAGTACGCATCCACCGGGATAGGGCTATCGATTCGAGTCACAAAGGATGAATGGTCTACAAGCTTCTCTTGTAGACTTTTCAATTTGAATAAGGCAGTAAGAAGACAAATTTCGCGAGATGATATCATTTCGTAGTTTCTTTACAACCGCTTCACAACTAACATGGTTAACAATAATAAAATAAAGTTCATGACAATTACTCAGTTAAATAAAAAACACAAAAGTACATACTAATGACCAATCATATTTATTTAGATAGGTCATGTAGTCCAGGGTAGGCGAAGATTGAAGTCTATTGTCTTTTGTATACACAATTTAGGCTGTATGTAATTAATCCAAAGTGCTTCCATCACCTTCAATAACCTTGAATTAGTGTTATGTGAAATAATTGTGAAACAGTCATCAATATTGATTTTGTGATCTGACATTAATAAGTGTTTTGCAATGGATGATTAATCGCATTGTGACTTTCTATATGTTTTAATAACCATTTTGGAACATGTTCTTTTCGATGACATTGGAACATTCTGTTGGTTCTACCTATATAGGTGTCACCGAAGCTGCAGGTGAACTTGTAGATACAGTTTGAAGTAGAGTCCACAGAATTTTGTCGTTTAATCGTAGGCACAGGGAATGAATATTTTTGGCATGTGAGAAAAAGAGATGCGGCATAGGATGTGTGTTTGATGGCTGATTGAAGTCTTTCAGCTTTTGACTGCGTAATCTGGTCACCCCTAAATGGTAGGTTGATAAAGATAGCTTTCTTTAGTCTAGAAGCTGTCTTTTCTAGACGTGCTCTATCCTTACTCGTGTGACAAGTGATGAAGTTCTCTGGATAACCATTAGCTAATAAAATTGAATGTATATGTCGAAGCTCCTCCGTCAATGTTTCGCTCGTGCATATTTTTCAGGCCCTTGAGAACAAGCATTTCACTAGGGGAAGTTTATACTGGATAGGAACAAAACTGGTGAAATGAAGATATTGTCCATTCTATGTCTGTTGACGGAATATAGATCGCTTAATTGTTCCATCGTTTCTCCTAGTCACTGAAATATCCACGAGACAGGGTTTATTATTCTATTCGAATTCGGAAGTCACTCGGATATTTGGATGAATACGATTAAATAGAGTAATAAAGTTTTCAGAAGACTTAGTATTATTATCAATAATGAGTGTATCAACCACATAACGTTTATACAGCATAAATTCTCCAAGCATACCTTGCATTTGTTTCTCTAGGGCCCCTGTTAACAGATACATTCATGTCTAAATTGGAAAAACAAATGCAATCCTATGCCGCATCTCTTTTTCTCACATGCCAAAAATATTCATTCCCTGTGCCTACGATTAAACGACAAAATTCTGTGGACTCTACTTCAAACTGTATCTACAAGTTCACCTGCAGCTTCGGTGACACCTATATAGGTAGAACCAACAGAATGTTCCAATGTCATCGAAAAGAACATGTTCCAAAATGGTTATTAAAACATATAGAAAGTCACAATGCGATTAATCATCCATTGCAAAACACTTATTAATGTCAGGTCACAAAATCAATATTAATGACAGTTTCACAATTATTTCACATAACACTAATTCAAGGTTATTGAAGGTGATGGAAGCACTTTGGATTAATTACATACAGCCTAAATTGTGTATACAAAAGACAATAGACTTCAATCTTCGCCTACCCTGGACTACATGACCTATCTAAATAAATATGATTGGTCATTAGTATGTACTTTTGTGTTTTTTATTTAACTGAGTAATTGTCATGAACTTTATTTTATTATTGTTAACCATGTTAGTTGTGAAGCGGTTGTAAAGAAACTACGAAATGATATCATCTCGCGAAATTTGTCTTCTTACTGCCTTATTCAAATTCCTCAAAAGGGATTGATTGTTTTAATTTTCAATTTGTATCCAAAAAATCTTAGACATACTCTCTAGTTTCTGTTCTTTCAGTGAATATCTGTTTTAGCAACGACACGGTAACTTGATATACACAGTTGGAGGTAACACACGAAGAGTTATCTATCGACTTTTGATTAAACTAATGAATATGGTATTCGAAACACAGGAAACGTTCTAGTCAGAAAATTTCCTGTCTAATCTGTTGGTTATATGTTTAAAATGGAGATGTAAAGAAACACCAGTCTGACTGATTTTCTTGTTCTGTGACTAAGTCTCATTCGCAAATGATGAAAACCACAACACTGTCTAGAAAATCATAAAGAACTACCCTTTACATTGACTTAAAATTGAAAAAGGACACTGAGAAAAATTGAGATTCAACAGGGGTATAACATATGTTAGCAGGTAGTAGTCTGGTCAGGAAAATTCCCTCAATGGAGTGCTAAGTTGTTTGCGTAATCGAAAGTCAGTGTCACTGGATGGGTATTTCTCCTCACAAACAACTTGGTGGATGTCGCTGGTCACAAATTCCTAGTGGAAGTGCAACACCACCTTGGTTTTCAATGATTCTCTTACTGAAGTCAGTTCGTCATGAGTCTTGAAATCAGTCGAATACCTGCAAACTGAAACCTGTAAATTAATGTTCTGTCTATTCATAATTGAATACAGGATGGAGTACCTGAAGTTCTGATGGGAAATTGTGATCAGCGGAGTCCACCAAGTCGTGTGTCAAGAGAAATACTCACTGATGATATCGTGAACTGGCAGTGATTGAATGGTCAACGAGCTCACCACCTTGTAACCTATAACCAGAGTTCAATCCCTGGCAGTGAGGTCATGAGCACATTATATTGAAGACTCAGAAACAAGGACGAAACTGTCCACCAGAAATTCCTGTGACTTTCAGCCGCCTTCTAACTGATGTCAGTTCGTTATCAGTTCCGAAATTAAACAAATCCCTGCAAACCAAATCTTAAAAATTTGCTATTAGGCTGTTGGCTTTCGGGATATATGATTTCTTTTAACAGGCAGTTTAGCACGAAACAATATCACTTAAGGAGTAGTTATGAAATACGATGGGCATGACACAGCCTGACATCTAAACAATCCTAGTAAAGTCCTTCTTGAAGGTCTGAATATAATAAAACGGTTTGATTTACCAAGTTCAACGTGGAGATAACAAGAACACTAATGGCATTATTGACATAAGAAAAGAATTTGTGCACTGTGGATTAAATTTATTTTGATGAAGTCTCATAGAGTGTTAAACAGTAATATTTACTGATGACCACATTTCGAGCACAATTCATTACTGCTCATAATCATATCAAGACACTACTCACACAACTTTTTAACTTCGTTTATATAATTCCATTATTTCTCATTTCTTCATTTGATTAGTAGTAATATTTCCGTATTTCTGGTATAAGTGGTGAGTCATTCCTATTTCATGTGTTGGGTGTACAAGGATTCAGTAATCAACCTCTCTCTCTCCACTTACCTAGATTGCTTTTTATATTTTAAACCCCCTCCAACCCTATTGTGTGGTTGTGTGTTTATGCATGCAGTGCGATGCAGTACTGAGTTTTTCTCTAAATTACTCATCTTCACGGGGTCAGACATTCTGACCTTAGCCACTAAATTCTTATATTCTGTTAATCTCACTACTCCCGATCTACTAGTTTGATCTATGTAGTTCACCTAACTCACAGTCATTGCAAAGTATTTTGTAAATTATATTATTTTGTCTAATTGGGTCAACTGGGTCTTTTAACCTACAGAGGTTGTCCCTGAGTGAGTTTGTAGGTTTGAATGCCACCCTAATTCCTGCTTTATTAGGAATTCTACGTGGGGCTCGTCTCAGATATCCCCTACTTATATGGTAAAACTACTGTTGATTCCTTGTATTCTCTCTTATTTATGTTTTCATTATTAGTTTCCTCATTACTTTTATTTTGTTTTTGACCTTTTTTGATATTGCTAATGAATCTTATAGGACAGTTAGTTATTCAACACCAACACCAATTATTCTTCTATCTGTTTCATTTCACCGTTTAGGTCTTTTTTTGTACTGCTTAGTGCTATTGGTCGGTTTGTTAGACACTTAACTAAGCCGCCAACCTTTACAGACAGATAACGGATGAGATGAATTAAAGTCTAAATATGTATTAGCAGAATGTATTGACTTTTTATAAACGCCAGTGTGCAGTTCACCTTCTTCTATTCGTTTTAATTTACAATCTAACACCATAGCTAATTCTCCTTGTTTATTTTTCAATTCAAATGTGAATTTTATTCCCTTTACTAATGAGTTTATATGGGTGAGAAGCTAGAGATACGTTCTGTTTGTAACACTGTGAGTGAAAGTGTCATCCAGATATCTCCAGCATATTTTTGGAGTAGGATTAAATGTTGTGTTATAAGAGCAATATTTTCCCAGCTATCCATAAATATATCTGCTAAAATTGAGGATAAATGAAGTCAGATATGATATGATTATGAACTGCGGTAATAAACCGGGGTGCTCTAAACACAGTCATCAGTAAATATTACTGCATAACACTGGAGACTTTATCAAAATATAAAATTATCTCCACAATGGATTTAACACCTATAGAACTTGCATAGTTGATATTGTTGTAGCATGTACTGGCAAAAGTTCGAGATGATGGTATATGGGATTCCGAACTAATTGCTGAAGCAATCTTCCGTTGAATAACCAACTAAGTCATGGGTACACACACAGAGAATGATAAAATGTTCGAAATAGCCAACAAATACATGTACAGCCTTTGTGCGTCGGTGGCATAGCGGTTAGGACGCTCGCCGACCATGCACATGGTCTGGGGTTCGATCCCCGGCCGACGCACTCCTTTACCTCGCTAGAAGTGATGCTCAGGAAGGCTTTGTGCGCTTTGACCTCGCTGAGCTAGAAATAATGCTGGTAAATAGGAAAGGTTGGGCATGAGTCTAGCAACCCCATCCTGTAAAATAAACACTGCTATAGAGACTTCAAGTCACTAGCTTGAAGGTGCCCTATGTTCCACAGGGGAATGTGAAGAAAAAAAATATGTACAGCTACCTCTAGTTTCCTTATGTCCTTCTCTAGTAAGTAACGATTTAATACGATGTAATGCACCATACAACACCTGATCCCTAACCCACCCCCACCCACTATTCACTGTTCATCAAATAACAAAAATGATAATCACTTACAAAGTGAAATTTTAAGAAAAAAAACAACATCTTACAATTCAATGAAAATTGATCCAAACGGTAGTAGACCACCAGCAATAATTAAAAATGCTGGCTCCATAAACCATTTTTTCTCTGGAATTGGTTTTGGCACTGGATTTACACGACACGGGAAATTCGACACACCGAATAGATTTCGACCTAATACAGTACCGACTAAATTCAATGGGATAACGACAAAAAATATGATAGCAGCTATCGCAAGCATTGTAACAAATGGAATGGAACGACTTGTATGATAATAGATAGCTACAAGATTGACAAGAAATGTGCAACAGCATATCATGAAGGGCATGAGAGTAGCACCCATTAGGAATTGTCGAATCCAACGTTTACCTAGAGGAATAAGACAAAAAAGACGACAGACGTAAGATGAAATTTGAAGTGATATTCGTCATAACAATACGAAGAAGATTGGGAGCTATGTTCATTGTGAAATAAATAAATAAATAAAGAACGCACTGAACATATTATTCATATTTATTTAAACACAAGTGTTTGTTACAAAATATGGGCGCGGACAGACTCTCTACACCACGATTTGTGAGAGGGCTTAAATCATACTCGGATGCCCAGGTCACGGCAGGTTATTGTCTTAAAGGACCACTTCCCAAGTCTTTGACTAAAAATTACATACACACAGAGCAGAAGAATCGTGTTCCTCTGGTTGCCAATAACGAGAACTGGTTCTGGAGCAGACGTATAACAACTATAGGTTTGGTATCAGAATATTCCCACTTTCCTAGGTGAACACCTCCATCTCCAACAGTTCGGTGGTAAGCACCAAACATTAGCTTCCGCTTCTTAACACCACTGGGACTCAGTGGATGAAAGTCACAAACAATTTTCACATTCTATCAAGAATGAAACGTATTACTATGAGAAATATTGAAGTATTAGTTCATCATTATTGAAATTGAAATCTCTTGGAAATACACACTAACTGTCGCGACTGTTTGTTTGTTCTTTCTGTTTTGTGTGTCTCAGTAGCATATTTATCACTTCCGCCCTGTGACACGGCAGCGGGAAGCGCGGTCGTTGTTAATCCGGGCCACGGCCGATCCGGCATGAAATTTTGTGATTTTGTATTGGACATGATGTTGGATTGGGTAGCTGCTTTTTGTTTAACCGCTATCCAAACAACCTGCCTGGCATGGTAGTACCTCAAGAGACAAGTCTCAGCCAGTATAGCTTGAATAGATCATTGCGGTGTTCAAGCCCGACCACCGTCAAGGTAGCAGCTTTCGGTCGCGACTGAAAGCGACAGAAGACGAGACTTAGTATAGGAAGAATGTTTATTTGGAATTTGGTGTCTCTATATAGCCAAATATAAGCATCGTTTCAATTACAGGCTGATGGAACTGACGAGGATATCAAAGCAAGAATCTGGAAATCAAGGCAAAGCTTCATTTCCCTCAAGGCTGTGTGGAGATCAACAGCACTATTCAACACGAAAAATAAGATCTGGATTTTCAAATCCAATGTGAAGTCAGTGCTACTTACACTACGTACGGATCAGAGACTTGGCGCCGCGCCGCGTCACGAAAGGCACTTCGAACAAACTACACACCTTCATCAACAGCTGTCTTCGTTCAACATTACTCAAGATGAGATGGCCGTCCAGAAAAGAGCAGCTACAGGGGTCTCCATCAATTAACAAACTAACCCAGCAGGAACCAATTGTGCAACAAATATGCAGGAAGAAATTGAGGAGGATTGGAGGCCATACTCTGAGAAAAAAACCATCAAGTGACATCACACGCCAGGCCATCGCCCGAGGGGAACCCGAACGGGAAGCGGAGAGTTGGCCGTCAGTGGGAGTGTGGGTGACATGGAGGGGGTCATGTGAAGAGGAGATCAAAGCATGTGGGCAGACGTGGAGCCAGGTGAAAATGTCGGCAGAGAACCGAACGCAATGGAGACGTGCGGTCGAAGCCCTATGTTCATCTAGGAACTAAAGGAAACAAATTATGCACACCTTATCTCCAACGCACCTGTTGCACAGACTTTCTGTGTTTTGCAACTTCTACCCTCTCTTCACATTATGTGTGTGTTTCTTTGTGTTCCCTTCACGTCTCTCATGTATCTCCGCCGATACGCTGAATCATTCGGTTTCTTTGAAGTTAAATCTATCCCCATGCTATTTGATATTATTTTTATGCTGCGGTGAACGTCTCTTTATACGCATACTACTGATAAATCTTATCAGTAATACATGCCAGAACATAATGAGAGTAGTAACAACAAAGGAATGATGTGAAGTGTTGAATACTACTACTAAATGACTTATTTTTTAGAATGTTAGTTACTAATATTACTTAATTAGACTACTTGGCTGAGCATATACCCACAAACAAACGCACACACTTCCAGTTAGCGTTCTTTCTCATATAATTACAGACAGACAACAGTATCACTGTTTTCATAAATGCTACATAGAATAAAATTCTTTCTACTAGAAAGGATGTAGAAAGAATGCAAGGCAAGCAAATCTTTATCATTAAAACCACGTAACGATAACAATTATCGATTTGAGAGCTGAAAGAAAATGACATAGGTGAAATGAAAAACTTCTCTTCCTTTTCTTTTACACATCATATCAGAGAATCTTTGGGACGATATTGGCAGACCACTTAACACAAACACTGCACAAACTGCTGTCAGCGTGCCTGCATCGAGCACCTTAAACTAACTGGTGAACTCGAATGAGTTGTGTCTTTCCGTAATATCAAATTCACAGGAATTTGTTACGTCAGCCAGAATGATTTAAATCTTTTTTGAGTCGATTGGTTCGACCGTCTACACCTGGCTGACGCTACACTTAATTCTGTGCAACTACCTCCCATACCACCCTAACCCTCGGTTCCGAATTCATATTGATTTTGCTGGACCTATAAATGGTGTATCTTATTTGGTGGTGGTAGATGCTTTCTCGAAATGGCCAGAAGTTATACCAATCGTTTCACCGACAACTTCGCAGACTCTCAAAACTCTGACTGACATATTCTCACATCATGGTCTGCCAGAAACAAGAGTTACAGACAACGGTTCACAGTTTACATCTCATCAATTTCAGCAGTACTGCAGTCAAAATGCTATCAAGCACTTGTTCTCACCGCCGTATCATCTTCAGTGAAACCGTCAAGCAAACCATTTTGTCGACACCTTGAAAAGAGCTGTTCTCAAAGCAGAGGAAGAGGGAACGCCATTTGACAGCATTCAAAAACATTTGATGGTATATCGCACAAAGGCGAATAAGTCAAGACAGAACAAAAAATCGCCAGGAGAATTTCTTCATGGATGCAAACTAAGAACGATTCACAGCTTCATGTTACGACCGGCACCCAGACGTGCCAGTGTTGAAATGAGAGAAAACTTGATGTTGGCAACGCTGTCTATGTACGCAACTATCGAGCAGGACATAAACCTTGGAATAAAGGTTACATCGCAGCACAACGTGGAAGTTGGTAATGATTTATGGACCCGTTATTAGTTGCGTCCAAGAAGCTCACATATCCACAACTGGCACAAAGTCAACCCTGCCTCTGGATATTCTCTTCGACATTTTTAACCTATCCACAACCAACAAAACAGAAAAGCAAAATTACGCAGCTCAAACAATGCCTGACAAAGCAGAAGCCGCAAACCCAACAAGCAGACGAAGCAATAGACGTCAACAGTGAACTCAGCGTTTCCAGGTAAACCCTAAGAAAGCATGCTACTAATCATCTATCTTCTCAAAAGGGGAGGTGATATGTAGTCACATGATGTCTGCTTTGTTTTACCAGTCTGATATATTTTGCTATATTCTAGTTAGTTAGTCCATTATGACTCGCAATATATCATGTCTGTTTGTTAGCTAAATAAACAATATATGACCTTATATATGTCCAAACCAAGTTCACTTTTAACAGTTTGAAAAAAATTGGGCATTGGGTATATGATATTCACTATAATAAAGGTTTTTTTTGTATTTTCCAATGAATGAAAAAGAGCGAAACGATATTGTTTTGTGTACTGACGTTTCGCTGTTTAATGTTAATAGCTTTATCAAAGTCTACTGCACACAACTGAGGCGATGGGCATTCGAACTATTAAACCTCAACTATACATTCAAAAGAAGTTCGTACAGCCATTATCCCTCCCTTGTTGGCCTACTAAAACATAACCAACTAATGACTTCTACACCACACCTTGTTTATATTTTAAAGCCCTTTCTTATCATCCCTTAATCTTATCTTCATTATAAACGTGTTTCATTTCCTTCCCTTACAATCTAGCATTACTTAATCGGTTCATTTGTTTTTGCTAGCCTCTATCGACTACTTCCACCTGAACATTTGTTTGTTTAATCATGCTGTTTTTTCATTATTCGTGTTATCACAGATTGCCTCACCTTTTCATCCTTACTACTGATAAGACAATTGTTATTATTATTATTAATGTTATCATTACTACTAATATGACTAATTGCACAATTTACATTCACCATCTTATTATCCTACAGACAAAACACCATGATTGGTTTATATTTGAATTTTTATTCGTAAACTTATATATGCTAGAGTTAAGCCTGATGAGATCTAATTGAAAACAGTATTGTTCGCCTAAATGTGTTGTTCTAAAGTATTATTGAACCAGAATTCACAAATCCACTCAGCAATATATAAAACAACTTAATCATCGTTCCTCAGTATAGGGTCATTTTTCGTTGTCAAATGTATAACCTTTGTCACACATAACCAATCAGAATCCAGTTGGTGGTAAGAAAAACGACTTATCTATCTTATTGATTCATGTATTTTAGTTATTTCCTATATAATCTTGTATTGTACACTTAATTTACTCTGTCGCACTTTCGTGCTTTCCCACTCATTCTCTTGAGTGACAGTCAATTTCTCTTGTTGGAAAATACACGCATGCATTCGTGAACGTGGGGGTCATCTAGTTTCACTGTTCGGGTCAGGGTGAATTAACTACTAAGCAATACCAGTTCGTTATGTTATCCACTGTATCTTGTTAGCCAAATTTACACTCGGTCACACCATAACAGGTAATTATTATTATTCCCCTGGGTACCGGGCGGAAAATTCGGTTTCAACAGCACAATTCCATTTTGTCCTATTCTCTTTAGCTGCTTGGACCCATGATTGCCCATAGGTTCTCATCTCCCCCTCACATAGTACTCACCTCCACCTGTTATCCTCAGGCACACCATTCGTCGTTCCCCATTCAGATTCCACTAGAGGGCTTAGTGAGCGATATCATTCGACTGTGTTTTATCAGCGTGTCTCCAATCCATCTTCACTTTTTTTTAATCAGAATATTTGTTTAGCACATAGGGGTCCTTCGCTGGTTCATCCCCAGTGTTTCTCGTTACCACTAATTCTTTCTGACCATTTAATCTTCAGTATATTGACCCAGAGAAGGCGGTTGTTGATGAAAGAGGTCTACAGTAGCCAAACCGTATCAAAAAACTCACTTAACGTTAGTATTGAAAATCTGAATTCAATCTGTTCTTTATGCTGAGTGCAGAAGATTTTCAAACTGACATCCTCATGCGTGCCGTCTGCTTTTAATTGAAACGATGCTGCGTTAATTATGCAACACTGCCTAAAATATTTTGAATGACGATATGGTTAAATGTTACAATAAGTCTTACGAGCATCGGTGATTTAGCGGTAGGATAGTGTTCAGTTACATGCATGGCCCACATAAGATTCCAAGCCAGTGTACTCCTAAATCTCGGCTACTTTACTGGGGGAAAGTTGGGCATAAGGCCAACAACCCAACTTGGTAAAATGACAAACATCACCTCTACTGAAACTATGATATACCTGAAGACGCTATAATTGTTCTATTGAGAACTCAAAGAAACGCAGGAAAAAAATAATAATGAAAAAGCTAACCTACCTGATGTACGTGCATATAAACTACCACCAATCATTCCATTAATTGGTGAAGTTGCCGCGAATACAAATATTGCTGTAGAAATAAAACTTCCACGTTCAGCATACAATTTATTAGCTAATGCCAAAAATAAAACTATGAATGAAACAAAAGCGACATGAATTCCAGAACCAACTAGGCTAGCAAGTAAAGATGCATGTCGTGGTGAACGAAATACATCACCATGTACTTGTTTCCAACCATACTCATCGCCTAATTCACGATCCTGAAAGACGACAAAAAACAAAAAAAACAAAGAGAAGACATGGAATTTTAAATGTTCAGTTTATTTTAGAAAAAGAGATGTGGATAGAAAAAAAAATATATATCAAGGGTCACTAAATTCCAGCTGAATAATCAACGAACATTGTCTCGTAAGCTGGAGGTCCCAGGATAGATCCCTGATATAATTCAGGTCGTGGATGCTTTGTCCATGTTTGAGACTCTTCATCAGTATGAACGTATAACCATTTCACTTTGAACAACCACTTTGTTTATCCGCGCTGATCAAATCACATTGCGAACAATTGGATTTTCAAGGGACATGATACCGGCAGCAGCGTTTATTTTGTGATTGTTATCCGTATCCAACAAACTCGAAGACTTGCAAGCAGGCAGGTGAAAAACCAACAAACTGGCTGAGGAGGCTGGCAGACAGCGAAGACAGGACTGACTCCAGGTGGACTTAGAGAACACGGAGGTGACGATAACCAACCAACCAAACCAACAACTGCAGTAACAACAACAACAACAACCAGCAACAATCACCGTCAAGAGGAGGTTACTTATCTGACCAGGAAGCCAGCACTATATCAACCACAGGCAGGCAGTTGGACAGCACGGATGAACATGTCACAGTCAGTATGAAGAAAAAGATTCAGACTCTATTCAACACAAATGTCAATGAATTCAGTGAGTCAGTCACTTCATCTATACGGGTGAGAAACTTGCACTGCGTATGAGTCACGAAAAGGATTTCCGACAGGTTAGTACAGACTTTTATCACCAGTTTCCCATTTCACTGGCTGTCTTCAAACTGAAGATCTAATGGCCGGATGGACGGCCAGCTGGCCAGAAAGAATTAACAACAAGAAACTTTGGAGATGAACAAACCAACCAACAAAGCAGACGCCGGCTGCTAAACCAGTAAATATGTAAAAGAAAATGGAGATGAATTGATTGGGCATACACGGCAATGAAGAGACCGTCGGCCGAATGACATCGCGTGCAATTCAGGCCATTGCTCGAGTGTAAGGTAAATTGGAAGCGAGCGACGAGTGGGTCGTCAATGCGAAGGTGACATGGAAGATATCGTGTGGCGAGGAGGAGATGGGATATTATGAGCAGTAATGGTGGGCCTGGCCAGTTGAAGAGGGCAGCAGAGAATAGAACAAAGTGGAGATGTGTTGTTGAAGCCTTACATTGCACTCGGAACCCAGAAGAATAATAAAAAATAAAATGAAAAAATTATATTTGCTCTTTATACCATCGCTAATAAATACATCTTGGAACTACCATAAGTGCTAAATTCTTCCTTCACTAGTTAGGGAGGTGTTAAGGGCAGTCTGGGGCCACCAAACTAAGTAGTCAGTTGGTATTATAGCCAAAGTTCACGTTTAACAGGTTAGATGGCCACACAACAATCATGAGTAACTTCTACTTGAAGCCAACTAGAAACGAGCTTGAGGTCATCCAAGCAGCATAACTACTAACTGGCTTCTTAGAGCTCACGACCATCAAGTTATATAAGGTGTAAGTCAGTTAACCATTCAGTTACTCGGATAGAAACAAATGGCATATGAACTGTAAATTCTAATCAAGGTTTAAACCAATCAAATCTCTACTAATTAAAGCATTATAATCAATATTTTTGGTGCCGACAGCAATAATCACAGCGAATCATAAATACGAGAACACTTGAACAATGAGCCAGCTTTGATATCCAGTGTTCAGTTGACCTGACATATACACAAATGTATTTATTGTCTCGTTTACTCATTAGTCAATTATGTACAATGCCTTTTACCATACAGTCATCATAATATGTATGATTCAAGGCCTGTTTAGTCACACATACACTGTTTCTCTCTCTCTCTCTTTTGAGCTACTATAATGTGTACTAATAACAATCAATCTTTGGTTACAGGATTTCATCATGAGTTGACATTAGTTAGAGAACCATTGGAAAACCATCACCGGAGCACTGGAGAGCTGTTTCGTCCTAGTTTGGGACTCATCATCAGTACATACCTACCGGGTTCGAACCCAGGACCTTCTGGTCATAGGGCAAGGAAGCTCGTAGACCATTAAGCCACTGGGACCCGATCCAATGAGAACAAATACTCGCCGAAGACATTGGCTAGCGGTCGCGCTATGTCGTGAATTGGCAGTAGTTAGAATTCATGGACTGGCCATTGGATCCGTTGGGTCCCAGTGGCTTAATGGTCTACGAGCTCGCCTTATAACCAGAAGGTCCTGGGTTCGAACCCCGGTGGATGCGTACTGATGGAGAGTCCAAAACTAGGCTGGCGAAACAACTGGCTGTCCAGTACTCCAATGGTGGTCTTCCGATGGTTGTATAACCAATATCAGCCGATTATAGAATCTTGTAACCAATCAATCGAAAACCTACAAACCAACAATTGAACAATCAATGTTGTTATTTACGTCTGTTCAACGCGGGTATTACAACAACATTACAATGAAATTTATTTACTAGACAAAATCTAGAACTTATTGAAGCGGATGGTAAACAATGAAATCATTAATTCATAAAAGAATAAAAAATCTTTATTGTATTTAGAAAAAAATAAACAAAGGGGAACTTTGCAAAATGGATTACTACTCTTGTTTATTTCTTACCGCCTATCTATTCATCACATCACATTCAACGGCTTTTCATTCCTTAAAAGCTTTCATTTCTTCCTCACAAATGATGTTTATTAGATGCATCACACAGTGAAACAGTATTATTATTTACTGGGTGACACAGTTTCGAGCACAGTGTATTATTGTACATAATCATATCAATTATAATCACACGACTTCGAAACTTGAGTTTTATAGTTTTCTTTGTTCTCTTCTATGGAGGAGGTCAGAAACGAACTCATTTCTGACCAAGAACTCGAACTTATGACGAAAGTGCCACTTGAGGACATAATGCTGGATTTGCTAGCTATACCTGACTTCCAAAGTATTTAAATTCCAGGGAAAAATATACAAACAAACAAAATGAGAGATTTGCCATGGAGTCACCAATATCTCCGATTGTGACAGATATATTCATGGATAGGTTATCAAAACGTAGCGATTGAAATGTTCAGATCCAACTCAGAATTATGGTGAGGTGTAAAAATGACACATTCACCATACTTAGAACACAGGACATAAATCGATGTTTTGAACACATTAACTCAAGAGTGAAGGCAATTCAATTCACTTATGAATTGGAAAGTCAGGAAGGGGAACTTCCTATGTTAGATTGTAGAGTAAAAAGGAAAGAAGATAAGTGAGACCTTGGTGTTTACATGAAACCCACACATTCAAACAGATATTTGGACTTTCGATCATCCCATCCTATATCAGTGAAAATAGGATTGATGAAATGTTTAAATAATATAGCATAAAAACTAACTAGTATCAAGGAAAATTTAAGACAGGAAGTGCGGCATATAAGAGAAGCTTTGGAACTAATTAATTACCCTGATAAATTAGTCAGAAAGTGTGTAGGGAAATCTAAAAACAAAAATAAAATAAATAATGACAGTAGTGCTAGTAATAATAATAATAATAATAATAATAATAGTAATGACGACATGCATGTCAAACATGCGCAAGACAGCACCAATAATATGGAATCTAAATCACTAGTAGTAATTCCATATAGGGGAGAAATCTCAGAAACCTTACGTAAAAGTCTTAACAAGGCAGGAACAAAAGTGCCCGGCATTTGAACTGCCTATAAACTCAATTAGAAAGAAGTTTTGTCGGTTAAAGGATCCTGTAGAGCCTTTAAAAAAAAACAATTTAGTTTATCTAATACCCTGCCGGAATGATTGTCAGGTCAAATACATAGGTCAAAGAAGTAGAACAGGGACAGTCAGACTAGCTGAGCATAAAAACCTAGAAGCCAAATCTAGATTAGTTGACCCGAATAGATAAGAAATCTAGAGAATAGTTCAGCTTTACCACTCACTAGATGCAATTACACACAACCATACAATAGGATGCGATAAGATGACAGTTTTAAAATCTAATGTCACAGGGCGAAGGGAGAGATTGATTTGTTTATCGATTCAACTGCCAGAGATCCTTCTTGGGGCTGAACTTGCTTTTCAGATAATCTGATAACTTTAGCATCAAGTGAAGGCAAGTGTTGGTGAATGTTTGTAAGGCTGGTGGAAATATTTTGGCGATGCACTATGTCGTTTTTGACTTAGTGATAAAAATTCTGTCAGGCTTTCCTGAACCTGTCTACCTACTGTCGTTGAAAGGATGCAGTCTAGGTTAGTAAAAAGAGACAATTTCCTTCAGATTTCTCCTATCACTATGACTGGTACTTGTTGTTGTTAGATTGTTGGTTAGGTGTTTTTATCATCTGCGCCAGTCACCATCAATGGGAGGAATTTGAAAGAGGTTACCTCATTCACTTACTTATCTAAGGAGTATTGTCTCAACTACAGGCAGTCGGAACGGACAAGGATGTCAAATCGAGCGAGAATCGGGAAGGCAAGAAACACATTCACTCATCAACCTGAAACCAATCTGGAAATATTCGTCACTCAGCCAGCATCAACAACAAAATCCACTCGAATTTTCAATACAAACTTCAAGTCAGTCAGCTCTTCTATACGGATATGAAACTTGGCGGGTGGGTCACAAAGAATATTCCCAACAGCCTGTTGCAGACCTTTATCAACCAACAACTGTCTTCGCTGGCTCTATACTGAAGATCAGATGGCCGGAAAGAATCACCAACAAGGAATTATGGGAACAAACAAAGCAAGAACCAATCGCCCAACAAATATGCAGGAGAAAGAGGAGATGGATTGGACAATCGCTGAGGAGGCCACCTCTGGGTGACATCGCGCGCGCGTCAGGCCATTGCTCGAGTGGGACCAGGCCGAAAGGGAAGCGGCGAGTGGACGTCGGTGCAAGGGTGACATGGAGGAGATCGTGTGAAGAGGAGTTGAAACAGTATGGACTAAAATGGATGCAGGTGAAAAG